GATTAGTCAATTAGTTTCAATATGAGGTTGCTTGTAGCAATTTCCCAAACTTTCAATATTTTTATCATACAATTTCATAGCGACTTAACACAGTATACCAACTTCCATTTTGTCAAACGTTTCATTTACAAGGTGGATTATTTTGTCAACATTAACGGGGGGGGGGGGGGGGTTGTTACTGAAATATTTACTCTGAATTACTCTAAAAAATCGTAAGGTGTTTTAATTATTTATATGTTAAGGATATTTTAGAGACATTCATCTTTAGACTGTTTGGTGGCTGACAAATTAGACTAATGTCAAACTCATCCTGAGAAGCGTTGATCATAAATTCTGGATCTGAATGGCTGTATGCGTTGATCATAAATTCTAGATCTGAATGGCTGTATGCGGTTTTGTATTGTCCTGTTGAATAAAAATATTTTGAGTCTTTTTAATACAATTTCCTGTATTTTAAATGTGTGGATGAGTTTGACATTAGTCTAATTTGTCAGCCACCAAACAGTCTAAAGATGAATGTCTCTAAAATATCCTTAACATATAAATAATTAAAACACCTTACGATTTTTTAAACATGTACATTTTAAACGTGTGGTTTAAAAAGATATTTTGTAACAATAAATTCAAAAGCAGCAGTAAACAAGTTAATAAAACCTTGTAAAGTTATTTTTTCGTTTGAAAATTCATTTGTATAATTAGAATCAGTTACGTTGGCAAAGTTATTCCAAAGGTTCCATAAGGATTGAGTTGATATAGGAATATTACTTTTTGAATTTATTACATTTTCTATGTTGTATATATTTCCTTCAGTATAAAGAGTGTTGGTATTGTACATTATTTTTAATAGAAAAAAAGCAATTTTAACAGAAATAACGTACTTGGTTTTGTCTGCTTTTGTTGATTCTTTTGTAAGCTCTGAGTATTTGGCTAGTAAAAACTTGTTTAAAAGTATGTTGCGTACTCAAATTTGTCTAAACAATGGAGTTGTAACTAGTGTTCCCTTACTTCAATTGTAACTTCCCTAATTCAATTGTAACTGTCCTTACTTCAATTGTAACTTTTCTTACATAAATTGTCACTTCCAATTTCTATACTTAAATTTCCGTTTCTTTTTGCAGACTCTTGCTTCTCAAATGCTAATTTCTCCATTAAATCCATTCATAATCAAATCTTGGTCTCGCAACGGCTGTCAGGAACATAATTTTAGTAATGAATATCTTTAATTTCATATATCGATGGGGTTCAGGTTCATCAAGCTCTAAGTAGTACGGTACTAATTCTTCTGTAAAATAGAACCATTTTTCATCAATATGAACTGTGTTGAACATGTTTACAAACTGATTTGTACCATTTTTAAAGAAATGTAACCGAGAACAAATGTATTGAATACGCTGTTTTCTATTTTCATCTGTTAAAAAAAGTTTTACAGCTGACGTGCACATTCTTAATTCACCATTCTTATGTCAAGGATAAAGAGTTGTTGTTTGAATATTTAAAGATCCTGCCAATGCATGAATGATTTTCCGTTTGTTTAAAGGAATTTCAGAGATTCTTTCTTGTAGTTGAAACATTTTTTTCTTTTCACAAAATCTTTTTTTGGAGCACATGTTTGATTGTAAATTTTTGTTTTCTTGACAAAAAGAATTAGCAGTCTTTTTTAATAAATTTTTTTTTCAGTTTTCCATTAATGCCCTGGGATAATAAATCATCGTAAACCATACGTTGCTCGTTTTTAAGCTCACGTTTATATTTTATTTTTATTTTTGAAAAAGAAGTTATGCTAGCTGTTACAAAAAGTTAGGTATATTGTTATTGCTGTAGAAAAATACAATAAAAACACCAACAATTGATTTTATAACATCTGATTTTATAACACCTAATTTTATTTGTTATAAATCTTTACAAGTAGTACAGCCATCTATTGAGCATGAAGTATTTAAGTATAGAATTTTTTAACTGCTGTTACTATAATATTATTTTTCACTAAAAACGGAAAAATTGTTTTTAGAAAATCAGAAAATTTTGGAGCTTTTAATTCATTTTTAGCAAATCAGAACAGTATTTAGGATTTCTAAAAATTTCTGAACAGTATTTAGGATTTCTAAACACTGTTCCGATTTGCTAAAAATAAATTAAAAGCTCGAAATTTCAAACAATTTTCTTGTTTTTAGTGAAAAATAGTATTATAGTAACAGCAATTAAAAAGTTCTATACTTAAATATTTCATGCTCAATAGATGGCTGTACTACTTGTAGATATTTATACCAAATAAAATCAAGTGTTATAAAATCAATTGCTGAGGTTATTATTGCATTTTTCTACAGGAATAAATTTTGTTCCTAAATGAGAAACAAAGATTTTTTTTCCGGCAGGAGCTGGCAGAAGACATTTTTTTGTCACCCAGCCCCTTGTTACAATTTTATATAACCTTGCATGTAATGAAACCTTGGAATAATTTTATATTTTAATTTTTATATTTTAATTTTTATATTTTAATTTTTATATTTTAATTTTTATATTTTAATTTTTATATTTTAATTTTTATATTTTAATTTTTTTATTTTAATTTTTATATTTTAATTTTTATATTTTAATTTTTATATTTTAATTTTTATATTTTAATTTTTATATTTTAATTTTTATATTTTAATTTTTATATTTTAATTTTTTTATTTTAATTTTTATATTTTAATTTTTATATTTTAATTTTTATATTTTAATTTTTATATTTTAATTTTTATATTTTAATTTTTATATTTTAATTTTTTTATTTTAATTTTTATATTTTAATTTTTATATTTTAATTTTTATATTTTAATTTTTATATTTTAATTTTTATATTTTAATTTTTATATTTTAATTTTTATATTTTAATTTTTATATTTTAATTTTTATATTTTAATTTTTATATTTTAATTTTTATATTTTAATTTTTATATTTTAATTTTTATATTTTAATTTTTATATTTTATGAATACAAAAACTGAATATGAATATTGTATTGGAATTTATAAGAAAAATAAAAAAATAAAAAAATTGAAACGTTAAAAAAATTATATATTTAAAAAGTAGTGACAAAAAGCTCCGAAAATTCTTCAGAAAAAATTGCTCAAATATATAAAAAACTACATATTGTAAAAGCACTACCTGTATAATATTATAATAACTTATATGAAAGTGACATTAGAAAACACATTAAACAAAAAATTGCAAGAAAACCTATTTAATTTTTTACATATTTAAAACGTTTTTCTTTCTTTGTGCTGCTTTTATAGCGGCTGACATCTTTTCCACTGCTTATCAGTTTTTTACATCAATTTTTCCCATATAATAATAAATAATAATAAGGTATAACTGTAACAACTGTTTTAAACAGTTGCGAAGTGCAATAACATAAGATATTGCACTGTAACAGCTCATTTTGCCTTTTGTTTGTGTTTTAACAAATAGTTTCTGCAAAATCCAGCTCTGTCTAGTTTGTTTTTGAAGTTATTTATTGAAGTAGCTTCTATTATTTCAGATGGTAAGCTGTTCCACGCATTTACAACTCGATTTTGGAAAAAATGATACCTGAAGGTATTTCTGCTAAAAGGCTTCCTCATTTTGAATTTGTGTTGTCGCAGACATGGACCCTCCTCCATATATGTAAGAAAAGCCAAATAATTGATCTTAATATTCGGTAGAATAGCAATAAAGTTCTTTTATTAGTATGATTATTTTAAAACACGCACACATTAATTTTCCATATGTTAGTATCAGTTGAAAAATACGAATTAAGTTAATATTTTAGATTGAAATGATTTTAAATCTAAAACATTAATTTAAATCGACAACAGTGTCCTAGCAAGGTTGTGGCGAGTGAGGTCAAAGTTTCGAAAGCAAGTCTCAAAGAGGCATATATTTACCTGTAGGAATTTAGGTATATATAATTTGGCATATTTGGCGGCGAAATTTATGACATTAAAAGCAATGTATTTTCTTTTTTACCACTAGATATATTTTTATATAGTTCAAATTTCGAAAAAAAATCTTAGCTTAACTTTTGCATTCCAATATTGTATATAAAGTAATTGCCATACAGAGGCCACATTACTAAGGTCCGCCAAAGACGAGTTCAGCTCACTAAAGAGCACCATAACCCGCTTAGCAGACCAAGAGTAAGTGATTTTAAAAGAACGAAAACCTATGAACCTTGGAACTTTCGGTTCTATGCCAGAACTCTAAATTTATAGTTACTTTACAGTTGCATTATAGATACAATACACTACTGCATTAGATTCACTACTAATTCTCTCATAGCACTGTAAAAAAAAAGTTTTACTCATCAAAGTTGCATTTAAATTATAAACATATACTTTTAAATAAACCAAAATAGGTCTAAGATTTTGAAACAAATCGTATGTCAAACTTTTACTCTTTTTATGAGAGCCAGTAAATTTGTCTTGAATCAGAAAAATAGAATTTAAAGTTGAAATTTTTAAATTAATTTCCATCTTTAATAAGTGTTCAAAATAATTATAATTTTTTTACGATGCATTTTTTTTTTTTTAATGTTTAAGTTCATTAATTAATATTTAATTTTTGTGAAGAGATAAACTCCTTATATACCAAAATATGATACTATGAAGCTAAACATTTTATATACCAAAGTAAGATACTACGAAGCTAAATATTTTATATACCAAAGTTTGATACTATGAAGCTAAACATTTTAGCTAAAATTAAGTATCATTTCAAAAACTTTAATTATGCTTGAGTGTTTAAAATTTTATTAATACTATAAAAAACTTTAAAACAAAAACAAAAACTATTTAAGTGTGCTTAAAATTAAATTAAATTTAGCTTTTAATTAAATTAAACACTTGTGTAATTTCTAGAACTTGTTTGACGATTTTGAGGCCGTAAAATATTTAATCAAAAAGCTATATTTATTATCCAATATTTTTAAATTTTATATCAACAAAATATCGAAATATATATTTATTAAGGTAAAAGTTAACCTGGAGAAGCAAGACCAAGACAAACTCCAAAAAGTGCAAGAAAGAAGCTAAAAATAAATCGTTCATACATCAAGATTTGATCATGTTGAGTCTTTTATAAAAACAGATATTTGTTGTAATATAAAACTATGTAATAACTCTTGGATAAACGAGTCTTGTTTGCATCAAAATTTTATACATTTATTTCTTGTTTATTAAAATTTAATATGATTTTAATGAAGTGTTTCAAAAGATATATTTTTATAAAACCATTCTTGAAAAATAATGATCAGCTATAAAATAAATTAAAAAACGTAACAACCATACCACCCAACATATTGACAAAGTTGAGGTCCAAAACGGTCTACGCAATAACCAATTGGAAACTTTAGAATCGAATGAAAGAACATACCAGAAATAAAAACCCAATTTAATGCCAGATCCTGTTTTTCGCAAGTTTTCTCGAAATTATTTTGAGTAATTAAAGTTGTATTAGTAATACCACACAAATGATGAAAAAATTTTAATGCCTTAAAAATTTCTAGCATTGACGAATATCCATATATTGGTGCTCCTACTATAAAGTTTTCTAAACAGCATGTAATTAAAAACAGAATCAGAACAAAGGGTTTATTAAAGTCTGATTCTGATAAAATGGCCATGCTTTGTTTTAATGATCGTGAAGGCGAAATGCTTAACCAACTTATTATTTGTTAAAGTTAAAAAAAATATTTTTCAAATATTTTTTATGGTTATTCTATTTTGAGATTGCTTATTTAAATGACCTCATTTAAATAATAAAACGCCTTTGATAACACTGACGAGGTGTTAGACTATTGTTTTTAAACTATATGTGCAATGGCATTCTCAAACTATATGTGCAATGACATTGTTAAACAATAAAAAATATACATCGCAACTTTGGGCAGTTAAGCAACATCTTTGTAGGCTTTTTAAAAACAAAACAAAAACTTGTCGGAAATTCAAAATTTGAGATACAATGTTTTATTACATTTAGTTCATCGTGCACGTTCATTAAATTTAAAAAAACAACCGAGTAAAAGAATTATGATATAAATAATTGGGGAAACATTACTCCCATTTTGGGTAAACGAGCACCTTTTTTTAACATATTAATATAGTACAAGCAATAGAGCAATATAGCTAGGGCAAGTAATAACTCGTCTTCATTTAAAAAAATCTATAGGAAACAAAACAAGCATAATGGTTAACTTTTAATGTGTATATGCCAAGCTTCTACTAAAAGAAACTAATGTTTTAAATGTGTATAAACTAAGCATTTATCTAAATTTATTACTGGCTCTATTTTAAACTTTTTTATAACATGCTTCCATCTTATTTTCAGCCACATTTCTTTTTATTAAATCACAGATACTTAACAAGACATTCCAATCACAATTTTAACATTTCATCAACGTCACTTACAAAATCAGACTACTTGATTACTTCTCGGGATCTGCGGAACTTTTTCTGACGTCTACGTCTATCGAACTTGATTCTGAATAATAACATAAAATCTATAACCACAATTAAAGCATTTAAAAAAATCAAATTTAAATCAGATTTATGTTAAAAACATATAAAAAGCATTAACCTATACAAAATTATTTTCTAAATTTAAAGTATTAAATTTAAGTTGATGGAAAATCCAAACAATTTTTTGAATTACAAGTTAATCTGGAAATAAAAATCCTAGTTAAAAACAAACTGAAAACCATTTTAACAACTGCATTAGAATCCCATATCACTCGTGTTAATTTATTCTGTTTATAAAATAGAAAGTTTTTCTGAACATTCAAAGTTAAAACTTGAAAATTTTTAATTTCATACCATTTTATAAGGAATAATAATTTCAAAATAATATATATATATATATATATATATATATATATATATATATATATATATATATATATATATATATATATATATATATATATATATATATATATATATATATTTTAATTAGTTAACATACATATAAAAACTATAACTTTTATTTTAAATAAACTTTAGTTTTAATTTTATCTTATAGTTATAATAAAATGTATAAAAATATGATTTGCTTATAAATATACAATAACCGTTGTCTGAAAAATAAAAACAAAAAAAATAATAATAAAATGTATTTTTTATCTACAAATCAGTTATGCTTCCTTTAAGTTTGATCACCTTTTTAAAGACGCGTATCTATATTACAAGCTACCAGTTGTCAGTTACATCTACAATGAATATAGCATAGTGGATGATAAAATAGATAAAATAAAAAATGCATGATAATAGAGATATAAAGGAATAATTTAATCACATAAAGAAACTTTTCAGTAGATACAGTAATATTAACCGCCTTCTCTGACTGGTTAAGATAACTCTGATTGGTTGATATAACTCTTACTGGCTGATATAACTCTGATTGGCTGTTGATTAACTGCTATGTTTATAGCAATTAATTATCAGCCAAATAAAGTTTTCCTTCAGTAGTCACAAAAGCAAAATAATCAACTAAAAAAGTTAAAAAAAAAAAGTTCTTCTTTTGATCATCTACATGAATAATTCCTTCAGTAGACCCAGGAACTAATTAGAAACTTGATCTAGATGGAATCAAGTAGGTCTTGTGTAAATTGTTTAATTTTTTTTATTTTGATTAAATGTTTGACAACGTTTCTCACCTTGGTTAATAAAAATTTTTTAAAAGAGGAATTAAAGCTAAGAAGACCTAAAGTACAAGAGTAAAGCATTCACCTAAGCTACTAAGGTAAATAAAATGTTGTGACTTTTTAAAGTAAACCTATGAAAAGCAGAGTTTTCGAATAAGGTTTTTTCTAATAGTAAAGAAATTTTTAAATATAAGCGGTATATTTTGGTATTTAATTTTGATGTATTTAATTGGATAAATACAAACAAAGAAATTATTTGTTTTAATTAATTTTATTCATTTTATTTTAGTCTTATTCAATATTATCACTTCAAAATCCTTTAAAATTTCAAAAAACTGTTGAGCAATATTCAACTGATCTAACAGTTGTTAGTTTCAAGACTATTATGAAATAGTGAAGACTATTATGAAATAGTCATTATGAAACTATTATGTGTTAAGTTACACTCATTATGAGTTCCGTTTTGCTCCGAAACCTAACTTTTTGGATGAGCTCTAATGTGAAAATGCAAAGCTAGTGGTTAGTCTACTTCAAGGATACTTTGATAACCGTTTCAAAATCTGCACATGATTGAAGTAGTGCTGGATTAAAAGGGGAGCTAAGAGAGTCTATAGATCCAGGACCAAAAAAACACTGAAAAGAAAATCTTTGATTAATGACATGGAAAGGGGCCTACTGCTTCAAAATAACCAAGGGGTCTTAAAAAGTTTTATTCCGCCGCTGATTTGAAGCAGCTTAATATATTTGTGCTCTCTTGCTAATTAATAGAAAAAAATGCATTGAAACGTTTTTAAAATTTTTTGAAAGTGTTGTATATCACTTATTACGCGGTAATAAATGAGAAGTGACGTGTGTTAATTTTATAAACTGAAACTGAAATGACTTTTGCTGGTTTTATGAAATGTAGGGATCGCTAGTTTACGGTATACTAAAATTTTAGTATACCGTTTACTGTATAGTATACCGTAAAGTACACTGTTAAGTATACCAATGACGTCATTGCAATAAACAACTTTTTTTACTTAATAAATTTGTTAGCGAAACTATAAGAGAAGTTAAAAAATGTTATTTGTTCAGTCGCAAGGAGACCAGACAAATTTTTTTAATTTTCCAACCCCGTCCTTAGCTAAATATTCAAATTAGCATTAGGTTGAATGTTTTTATTGGATTTGATATTTAACTGATTTAAAGTAAGAACAAAAATATATTTAAAGATTTTTAAAACTAATAACTTAAGTAATTAAATAAAAAGCGTTGATCAAAATCCACCACTTACTAGAACAAGCATTTTAAAAATAAGTTCTGGTGTTTTCAAATAATTTTAGAAGAATAGAAACAGCAGAAACTTATCACATGACACAAATCTCCTCCCTTGTTCAATTTTTTGCAGTTTTTGCACTCTGGGGCCCTAACCTTGTTATAGATTTGTTGGCCATCTGGACTTTGTCTGCTCTTTACTTTTTTAGGATGCCTTTGAGACAGCAAAATAAAAATAATCAGGTGGAAGAATAAATAAATACTAAAGTAAACAAAAACATTTTTATTTTCATTTAAACAAAATTTGACTAATATTTTTCGATGATTTAAAGATTTGTTGATGTAATATAGAGATTTTTAAAACTTCTTAGTAATTAAATAAAGCAATTATTTAGCCAACTGTGACAATAAATCACTTGTATCAACTGAAGTCTCTAAAGTGAAATCAACATTAACACCATCCTCATCACTCTCATCACTCTCATCGTGATCACTAGTATTGCCAAGCATTATATCAGCAATTTTTGCTTCTTTTTCGTGGAGTGTTGCATTTGCACACATAAGAACCAATCCAATTGCTTAATCTTTTGCAAGTCGGTTTCTTCGCTTTGAATGAATAAAATCATACAAACTCCATATTCGCTCACTTCCAGCTTGAGAAGTTGGAATAGTAAAGACTATTTGTGCAACCTTTGCTAAATTTGGAAATTTACTTGCACCCTTAACTCCCCACCAGATATCAGGATCCATTAATTTAATCTGAGTTGCAAAATCTGGAGTCGGATTTGCACATAGCCTCTGAAATGATTTTATTTCTTTTTTTGAAATTTCATAATTGCAAAGTCCTCTTGTTTCAACTATGTACTTTGGAAGCAACTCAAGTACTATAACAAGATCACTTTTGCTAGATGGAGGAGACTCAGTATACGTATTTCTGCCACCATGATTTGGTGGATCAAGAAAGTATGCAAATCCCATAGATGGCGTGTGAATAAATTCCCATCTGTTTAAAACAAGAGTTTTCAATACTGCGTCTTCCTTCCATATTTCCATTAAGTTAACAAACCCTATATAAACTTCAGAAAGTAGACAACTATCGGATTCCAGTTTACCTACTAATTTTGATAATGGTTTCATAACATTAATAAAACATTGACATTCTTCCCAAAAAAAAATTGTCTTGTACAATGTTTACATAATCTGATTTTTTATATAGATACAAGTGAGAAGGCACCAGAGTTAATTAAATTCAAATGAACTAGTTTGTTTTCAAGATTAGGGGCAACAGATGCATGATGGCTATACCACCGTGTTAAAACTACATGTGATAATGCTCGCATTTTCTTCAAATTATTTTCTTGTTTAACACGATTTTGAATTATACGAAATTGATTGATAAGTAATGTTCTTTGTTTAACAAAGGCTGTCAGTTTTCCAGACTTTTGTAAAATATCCACAAACTCAGGAAGAAGGCAAATATCTTTTACTAAAAGATTTATTGTATGGGCAGCACAACCATTACAAAATATTTTTGGATATTTTTTTTCAATAATATCCCATGCAGCTCTCATGTTTGATGCGTTATCAGTAACAATCCTTGTAACTTTATCAACACCTATTTCAAGAATTACAATTTCTATGCGTTTTGCAATATTAATGCCAGTTAGCTGTTCTTGACCAGCAGGCTCAATTTTGTAAGCAATAGGTTTCATAGTCCTATTTTCAACATGAATTGA